ACCACCGATTTCGGTCATTCACAGTAACATGCACATCATTTACATAATAACCTCATCAGGACGATTATTTCATACTTTGCCTAAATAGCATCCGGCATTTCAAAAAGTAAAAATAATTGGTTTTGTTTGCGATGATCTCGTAAGGCGATAAAGTACCATGCATAGTACAGGTAAGGAAGATATTAACCTCGAAGGAAAAGTGGATGAATAACCCAAGGAACCTTAAAACATAAACCTAACTACCTGCAATTGTACAATTGTTAGAAAGAATAAAGGTAGGTATATGAAAGTGTCCCTTTGGTAACAAAAATGATAAAATTAAAATAATTATTTTCCAACATTAGTTACCATTTTTTATGAATGTGATTTTAAATTCTTTTATATGAATGATTTTTAAATGCATCGTACATATTTCTTATTCAATAATTCTAAATTGGAAACTTTTTCCAACATATTTAAACTTACTATTGAAGGTGATTACAATTTTTTTTTTGCTTTAAACATGAATAGTTTACAATGTATGTTATGAAGATATTTCCAATTGGATAATTAAATAAACAAATAAAAAATTGTTTTAACCACTTCTTACATTTTTAGTCCCCTGTGGCATCCCTGCAGTTAACTCAGTTCTTCTAACTATCATACTCATATCCTAAACTTCGTAATTTACGATTTAAACCTTATTCCAACTTAGAGATTGTTATCAACCCTCCCCCCCTCCAAACCTTCCATATTTTTAAACTCAGTTGAAGGAACAGATAATCCTCTGGGTTAGGTACTCCTATCACTGCATGAGTCGGTTAGTTTTGATATTGTAAATCTATTAGCTTTGAATTTAATACAGAATAAAATTAATTTTTATTCTTTTAAAACTACCACTTTAAATTAAAATCATTTTTTAGATAATTTAAAAATTTTCGCATTTCAATGCAGATTTTTTGTAGGCCGAAACAAAGGTCTCTAGTAAAGCATTTGCTGAAAAATGCAAGTAAATGCTAAGATTTAAATTCAATCCACTTCAAATCCCGTAAGAAACAATTATACCACAAACTGTTGACAAGTTAATTAATGTCAACTGCAGATATATAGTTTTTAAGAGCTTTAATGCACCTACTTATTCTTTTCTCTTGTCAAAGCTGGTTAAAAAATTTCTGATTTAATCTGCTAATAATGCCCTTTCAGTTTTTTTTTTTTTTATGATCTTTGATAAGGTCTTTGTTTCGTATGGACCATCTTGCATCAGTCATTTTTCTCAACACTTTATCTCAGAAAAATGACGAAATTATACATTAGCATTTTTGAAGTATTGCTCAATGCTATAGATGCATGTCTCATCATCGAAACATAAATTAGGCTTTGTAAACAGTGATGGTCAAATTCATTAAAAATTAAATTTTTAAATGCAAAATAATAAAACATGAAATTTGATGCCACTTTAAGTATAATAATAAAATATTACGCAAAAGGCGTAAGTTGGCAGCTTTGTAATTCAAATATGTCATTGCGCCTAAAATACAAAATGATTTTAGAAACTTATTCACTTTTTCAATTCAACTATTCCCTCACAACTATCAATGATGTATATTTAAAATAAAAAATGTTCATTAAATTAATTTTTATGATGTACTACTAAAGTATTACTGATATAAATTTTTCTCCATTAACTTTTTTTTATATAGGCAGCAACTGTTTATATTTTTAGGCGCTTGTTCCATCACTAAATAAATATAATTCCATTTCGCTCCGAATTACCATTAATTTATGTTGTTGTTGTTGTTTCGGATGCTACTTGGCAATATCAGCTAGTCTGCTTGGTTAAGCCAAGCAAATTGTGGCTCCATCTATTTCTTGGAGCTATCCATAGCCAAGAATACAACTTCAACCACACACACACACACCTCTCAACCCGTTTATAGGGTGGATCCATTCATACATCCATTCATTCATCCACAGATTGTAATTTTTTGACATAAACCAGAGAATGATCCGTCCCCAATTCAGTACTCCCAGAGGTACAATTTGTTATGGGAACATGGAGGACTTTGTAGCCCGATAGATTTAACGTACAAACTGGGATTCGAACCTGGTTTACCTCATAGGAAAGCGAACTCTCTATCCCCACCCCCAAAAAACGGTCATTATTTTTACTGGGTGATATAATCTTGCTTACTCTAAGGGATCATTCTTCATAAAGGGACCATTCTAACAGAACGGTTTCACCGTTCCACCATGCACTCCATAGCACGCAAGTAAGTGGTTGGTATCCTGAAATAATCCTAGATTATTTTTTTCATTTAAGACTAATGAGTCGTATATTGTAGTCAGCACATTAGCCAGCACATGTTTGTGTAATAATAAATAAATAAAATGTTTTATTAAAAAACGTATTGCATCATTAAAAACCAGATAATTTTTTTTCTTTGAGAAGATAAAAATAAAGTTTTTTTCATTGAACTTTTTGTTGTTTTTATTTATGAAGTGATTGCGGTTTTGTATTTAGTACTTCAACTTAGATCATTAGTTTCCATGCATACCTCTTCGCACACACATCGTTTGCATCCGCATTGACCTGGAATATTAAGATTCTTTATTATTCTATCTCCGATAAAGGAACGTTGTAAATTTTTCATATAAATTTTTCTAAGAAAGAAAAAAACAGGCCTTTCATGGACTCATAGGAAGCATATAACTTTTTTAGATCAAATAAAGACATTTTTTATGAATAAAATACCTTCAAAAATTGAAAAAAAAGAGCAGTTTTGGCTCATGGTAACAAATGTTAAGTTATTTCTAGATAAGTATCTTTAATTTTAAGTATTTCTTTCACTACTAAATATCAAAAATTCGAAGTGTCCCATGAAATGAAACTTTATTGCAATTATCACGTTAAAAAGTAGGCGTAATTATCCAAATTCTACACGTACTGCAATTTAATTCGCTACCAGTGTATTAAACTTTTGCAGGAAGCAGAGAAGTTGGCTTCCCTGTCAATACTTTTTCGTGATAATAAATTTCAGTTAATCCTAGTAGAAATTTTTTTAATTAAATTGCCACTATAACTTTCAGAGGTCTGGTAATAGCCAGTTCTAGTACAGATATATTTTCTTCACAAAATAATGTATAATGAAAACTAAACTCAGTGGCGCAACAACCCATTGAGAGCCAGGGCCTACTGTGCCCATCTCAGCTTTCTTGACCTTGGGCTCAGGGGTTTAGGAACAGATGTTCCGGTTTGGAGGTCAGTCGAATGCGGAACCTCCCAGTGTTTAGTCGCCAAGCATGATTGGTACTCATTTTATCAACTCACTGAAGGAATGAAAGGATGAATGAGCCTTACCCGGTTCGAGGATCGAACCCAGGACCTGTGGCACGAAGGTGAGAAACGATATCACTCAGCCACCAGGCCTCATAATGTATAGTGCCGTTACAAAACTATTAAATGTTCAAACTTTATCTTCTTTGTTTTATTGTTATTAACGCTTTGTATGAAGCCTGATACAATATCTACACGTTTAGCGAGGTGGGTCGGCTGTTCAACTATGAATATAAAATAAAATATTTAACTAGGTATCGTTGGGATAGCCTGGTTAGCAGGGCACTTGGCCCATGTCTAACAGGTAGTGGGTCCGATCCCCGCCTGCTGAAGACTCTCCGTGTAATAAATGGTGATTGGCGCACGTTAAATCTGTCGAGTCACTAAGTCATCCATGTTCCCATTGCAAATTATACCTCTGGGGTACTGATCCAGGAGTTTCCTTGTCTTCTGGAATGTGTTCAAAATTACAAGGCTACGGTGTTGAACAATAGTAGTCGTAAGGCCAAAATTGGGACGGCTGTTCAACGGCGGTTATAAAATATAAAATATTTAACGAGTTGGAGCCGTGGAGGCTCAAGTGTTAGAGCTCTCGGCTCCCAGTCAGGTGGCCTGGGTTCAAATACCAGTGATGGCTGGTCTATACTAATTCTGAACCCGGCTTACACCGACGACGATGATGACATAAAATATCCTCAGTGATATACGGATCATGGGTTCGAGGCCTTTGCAATAAGGCTAACAGTGAGAGGCTTTCGCGGTTTTTCTTTCCATGTAACGCAAATGAGGGTCAGTTCTATTAAAAAGTCCTTTGCGAAAGCAAGTTTCTCCCAATGCTTGATTCAGGAGTTCTCTTGTCTTCTGGAATGAGTTCAACATTATAAGGTTACGGAGTTAAACAATGGTAGTCGTAAACTCAAAATCGGATCAGCTGTTTTACTACTTATAAAATAATTGAAGAAACAAATTGACTTTTTTCAGAATGCTGTGAAAAAATGTATAAAAAAAGATGGCGAGCATACAGTATTCATTTTAAATTGCTTTTAATCACTTTCATTGACGATCTATGGCACCACTATGACATTTGTGAGTTGAGCCCTTAGCAAATAATTATTTAGGGGAGACTGACTTCTTTCTGGGGAAGTACGCGAGTGCGACTCAAACTGAAAAACACAAACTGATGATTAAATCCTTCTTTAACTAGCACGCTAATCAAAAAAAGGTTCGCATCAGAGCTCTGATATGCATAAAACATTTAAAATTAATAAATACAATCACTATTTAGGCTTGTTAAGCATCGTGCCAATAATCCAGTTACCAAAAAATACTTCTGTTATTAGTTGAAAAGTTTTTATGCCTAAAAAATAAAATTTTTGACTTGCACCTGTTAATGCCCCTGACGGTGACATCTCGACAAGTGAGGTATAATTTCTATCTCATTCGTCTAAATGTAGTTGGACAATTTCAACATCTAAATATATTTCCGTAAATTCACAATTTTAATTTTGGTTCAAAAGAATTAGTTCAAACAATTTGCCCCTTCAATCGTTCTTATCACTTTTTAATTTCTTTTTCTGGCTGTGGCAACCATTCTATAGTCCAATCATCAAGATGTTAAGTTTTTAGTATTGGGAAGAAAATAGTTTTTCCTGTAAAAGTAATTTATTATTTTTCTTTTTCTCCAGAGAAATATGACGTTTTTGATGGCCCAGAGAATGAAAATATCCTTCATTAGTAAGTACATTCTTACTCATATTTCTTTTTCTTTTACGGGAGAAAGTAAGCAGTGGTAGATAGTTCACAGTAAAAAACACGGAAATTTTCTCTTTCTAAGCTTTCATTTTAACTTTTTTTACAAAAATGTGGGGGTAAAGACTTCTAATTTTAAATAAAATATTATATGACTGTTCATAGTTAAAAATTGTCATTGATAATATGCTCAACACTTTGGCTAATCTTAAAAAAAAGAAGAAAAAAACGCTGCTGAATATAAGAAAATATCAAATATTTTCAATGGCAAACATAGAGAAAATCTCCAGTTTTGTGATAATGAAAAGTGATTGTGGACAAACTTTTTAATATTTTAAAACTTACTCCAATGCTGTATTATCAGTGCTTATAAAAATTTGCAAAAAAATGAGAGTATGGCAGTGATTTTGACCATTCTCCTCTAAGTGAAAAAATTTCGCCAAATTGGCGTTCTTTTTTTTAAAAAAAACTTAATAACTTTTGAAATATTTAAGTTATTTGTTTGTTCTAAGGCCTAGATAATTCTTCACGGTAAGATGGTATATATAGTTTAAAATTGCAGCTTTGGTTCATGTAAGGCACTTAAACTATATTTTTATTTATTATTTTTCTTAGCGAAGGAGTTTCGAAAAATCATGCTAATTGTTAATTCACAACAACTATTTCTGAAGAGAGTACATTTTACAATGCTAGTAAACATTGCGCAACCTCAACGTCAACTGGAAGCGCGTGAACCATTTTTCTGACTCAAGTTTTATTATTATTCCTATTATAGTAAGTTAGAAGAAAACCTCGAAGATGGTTAGATACTATGGATGAATGCTTACGAATGCTTTGGTTCGAACTTCTAACTTCAAAGATGGTTAGAAGTTTGAAGATACTTTGGAATTAAGTTTTAAAATTTTAAAAAAAATCTCAAAACTTTGAAAATTTTCAAAAGCAAAATGATTTAATCTCGCTTCACATTCTTCAAATATTAAAGTTCTATAATAGAATTATTTTATAATTTTTCAGCTTTTTGCATCATCATACTCTGTGCAACTGATTCGTACCAAGCAACTCGAGTAAGTTGATTCTTCATAAGTTTAATTTATTCAGTAATTTAATACAATGTTGAAATTAAAAAAAAATTTATTTAAAATTATCCTACCAAATTTGACGCACAAAAGTACATTTATGTGTTAAACTTTCTTCTCATATTTTAGGAAATGCTATGTATTAAGTAACGAACATTGAATAACGTTACAAATCCAAACATTCTTTAACCTCCGTCCGTAATTACGCACTTTAAAAAATAAAAGAAGGAGCAAATATTCTTACAAAGAAAATGAGAATTTATACTTTTTGACTTAACTATTAAATTAAATATTTAAACAAAGTTTCCCAATAATTTATAATTACTTGACTTTCTTAAAAATCCCTGGGTTTTACGAAAGTTATAAAGAAACATATTTTTGTATCTCTGCTATAACATTTCACATTCTTAATAGCTGTAAAAAATTTTAAAGAGCATTTATTTCTTAGACAATTATCTAACTTACAATCCCCGCATCTTCCCATCTCGTGAGCCTCCAATGGTCCATTTGCTTTTAAATATTTAACAGAAACCTCCTTTGAAAACCCATAGCTGCAAATTTCTTTGAGGTAACAAAATTAGCTTTTTATGCGTATTAAATCTTGAAGTTCAAGTTCTCAATAAAATATTTCACACTACCACAACGAATCAATAATTTTAAAAACAATATATGTAGATAAGATCGATTTGTTGGCTAATCATGCTTATTGATGTCTTAATAGTTTTGCTATTAGAGCATCCTTCCAAACTTAATTGTTGTTTTAATACCACTTTGTAATATCTTTTTCAACGAACGTACAAGTTGACAGACATGAATTCCGCAATAATTTAGTAACACTAAGAAAACATAAGGAAAAAAGAACTTTTAACATGTGCAATATGTTTTCTTATATCATACTCGGTTCTATATCTAAAATGGTAAATTTCATTTTTTAATCATCCTGCATTGTTTCTAATACCACTCGCTATACTTAATCACGAAGATGCATATTAGGAACAGTAGCAGTTTAGAAAACTCTATATTGGACCAAGCAAAGGGATTCGCTTGAATTGGAGACGATTAAACAGTACTTTAGACTTGTAAGTTTCAAATTATGCAATATGTTTCCTTATATCATACTCGTCTCGATATTTAAGAAGGTAAATTTCATTAAAATTTCAAGATTTAATGCTCCAAATCGCTGATGTTGCTACCACCAAGATAATTATTTCTCAACGGCCGTACAACTTGGTAGCAATGCGATTCTAGCATTCTTGCATGGTACCATCGATTTGAAACTCAAAACTTCTAAAACTATCATTTTTTCGCCAAAATATTTGCAAAATATCGCAAATATTATCACCAAGATGGCAAAAAAGTTACTAAGCCGAGTCTTGCATAGGAATTACACCAGGCGTTATTATCTCTATGAAATACTTCAGAATTACACAATTTTTCTTACCAAACTGATTATTAAGGACCCATCTGAGATACATATCCACATAAACAAAGAATATTTGCATAGTTGTAGAATTATTTTCAAATTCGCAACAATATTTGTTCTTCAGAGGGAAACAAAAGATTTAAAGAATTCAAAAATGGTTTCTTTGTCAACTGTTATTTTTAAAATCTTCCGTCTTTAGATGAAAAGGTATTCAAATGATCAAAGAGGTGAATGGAGTTGGAACCGTGGAGAACAGCTTATCGATGACCAACCAGGAAATGCTGCCAAAACCAATTGGCCATCCAGCAAAGGAGATTCTGGTAACATCAGAGGTCAACAAGCATCCAAGACAAACAGAGGTAATTCAGTTCCTACAGCTGCCAACTTTTACGTTTTTTTGCAAAAGATTTTTTCCATTATGGCAATATTCATTCTTTTTTTTCTTCGGTTTATTCACTGACGCTCAGCAACCCCGATGATTACTTCGCAATAATTTCAGTTTCTTGGCACGAAACAGTTGAAATTATTCAATTAAACATGTACTAAAAATAACACTCGTGCCAACGCATCTTACGTCCAGATATTTCCATTATGATGCTATAAGGTCTATTAGTGGATATGATTTTTTTTAAATAATATTTCTAATTAAAAATATATTGCTGTAACAAATTTGGTGATTTCACTAATGTAATTTAATATTTTTGCTTATTAAGAGGACGGATATAATTTAAGAGGACGGATATAATTTAAAGAGGACGGATATAATTTAAAGAGGACGGATAAGTACAATGTTTGTACTCATCACTCTGTGCATGAAGCTAAAAGTTAAGTTCTAAACCATTAAATTAATCTCTTTAACCGTAATTCATATTAGTATATTAATGTAGTTTGCATCAAAAAATAATTTGTAAAATGGTTAATAAGATCGAACGGTATAAATATACTTGAGGGTGCCCCTTGGCGAAATTGGCGACTTATGTTTGGCGCCATTCCTGTTTGCGTGGAACACCGTGGTAACAGGAATGTCTGCCAAAACATAATGTAATTTCAATAAAGTATTGGAAAATTTCAACAAAACATCGGCCAAAACTTTCTAAAACTGCAATGAACCCAATATAAGCAAAATTAATATACCCAATAAAATACATTTTGAATCGAAACAAAAATTAATGGAGTAAGCACAGAAAGAAAAGGAAAAAAAAACAACTCACTTCTTCATTAAGCTTGAATATCCTCAGATTTAGGTGCACATAATTTTCTAATGGCAGTTAGATACTGTCTAAATTTATCATAAATAGAATAGACATTTATCATGTGTACCTCCATCGTCACATAAATTCGGCGAAATACGAATCGAAAAAGGCGTCTGTGGTACCGGACTGCCGGTGACAATTTTTTCTAAAGCCCCTTTTTATGACTGCCCACATACCTTCGATCTTATTGACCAGAAGCAAAAGTAACCTTACCAGCCGGTATCCAACGTTAAACTAACGGACCTCTGGAATTACATATAGCGTTGAACATTTAAAACTAACGCTAAAATCTAAACCGATAAGAATCACGATTGGGTTTCAACATCGCCCAGCTTGGCGATCAACCGCGATCACAACTTGGCGAGAATCAAGGGGCACCCTCAAATATAGTCTACCCGATCGGAAACCGATTTAAATTACTTTATCTTAAAATGTAACGTATAATTAAGTTATTCTACTAATAATAATAACAATCCTGTTAAAACTTTTAATTTAGAAAACAAGTAAAATTAAGAGCGTAATAACGGTACAGGTAAATACCTATAAATTAGGAATGTAAAAGTATTTATTGGAAAACAATACCTTTATGACTTATATCAATTTTGTGCTGATGACGAACAAACCAATATGAAAACTAATATGAGGAAACTGGATCCTTACCATATGATTTTCCGGCCATTACAACGACAACAATGGAAAACTGCGACACCATCATTAGATTTTTATTATTATTAGTTAGGCACATGGATATGAGACAATGGTTTCAAGTTCTATCAAAATAAAAAATAAAAATACTGATTTTTATCTACTCTTGCTTTGATTTTTATTTCCCCAGAAAAATCTTCGCCAATAAACGTAAAAGTTGACGGTAACGATATACGATTCAAAAATTCTTTTAGCTCTTTCGATACCAGCGCCGTATTTAGCAATCATTCACGTGATCCCTTGTGTGTTCACCCGCCAAATTAAGCCAACATCCACACGATACCCCTTGTATGCATGTGCAGTATTTAGCCATTAGACAGGCGATACCCTGAGAGTACGAGAGATGCCTTGTGTGTTTGAAGAGCTGTCTCTGCCCGCCAACTCTTTCCACCAGATTAATTTTTGAAACTGACGTGTTTTTTCCTATTATCAAGCATATCTTTTCGCTTTAGTTTCTTAGGATTAAGCAATTTATATCAATATTTTGATCAAAAATTCCCCAATGGCAATATTTTAAGAATTAAGTGATAATCAACATCTAATTTTCTTAAACACATAAATTTTGCTATTTTTTTTATATGGCTGCAAAAATTGTGCTTTATCGCGTGATAAATAAACAGAGATGTCAACGTGCTCCGAACTGAAGATAAATATTTTCGGGCCGCAGTCTTTGAATGTATGATTCATGGTTTACTTATTTAATAAGCCACTAAGCAATGTCGAGTATTTTAAAAAGTTGGCAAAATTAACCAAAAATCTACACATTTTAGTTCGTATCACTTTACATCGTTCTTTAAAATATTTAGTAGAATCCGGAGCAGTTGACATCTTTGAATAGTAGTACTATTGCCATTTTAACACTGCAAATAGATTAATGTACAGGGAGTTAAGTTTTTATAGCTAGTTCTTATATATAAGACGTAGTTGGAAAGCAGGCAATTCCGCATTATCCAGAGATACTAACTTTTCCAGATTCGACAAAATATTTCAAAAAATGAGTGTCAACTACAAACTAAAATGTGCAGATTTTCTGTTTAATTTTGCCAACTTTGTAAAAATCACAACATGCTTAACTGTTTATTGAAATTACATACATTTGCAGGCATGTGTACTCAATATAGGTTTATAAACCTTTGTCAAGTAGGAGGGAAAAAACAATTCAGATAAGGGAATTACGAAGATTTCCTCGAGGGCTATTGCGGGATTCGAACCCGCCACCTCCACGCTTTGCACAGAATTTGGTGAGCGATACAGCTCTGCCAAGGAGGCCTCACACTTAACTGTTCCTAGTCCTAGTGCGATTTAGCTGAGCACCAGGATCGCGAAGCAGCCCCTATCCCATTCATCATGAATTCGGGTTCCATTTGTATTGAGTCTTTGTGGTTATCAGACAGTGGGATTGCGATTAATTATTACTGGAAGCACCACCAACCGATTCATCTTATACTGATTTGTTCTATGCTCAAAAGTCATGAAGGAATAAGCTTATACTGGTGCGCTTAATTGTTATAAAGTGACGTATGACATAAGAGTTTGAATTATTTAGAAATAATGGTGAGTAAAAACTACATAAATCGAATTTACTAAACCAATAATCGAACATTAAAAGACTACCACTCGAAAATAAAAATCCGCTATTCGGAGAAAGTTGGAATCTCTGTTTATCACGTAATAAATAAGAGTACTATCATCATTACAATTCTGCAAATAGATTATTGTGCCGGGCAAGTAGATTTAAATCTCTACTTCTTATATGTTAGAAGTAGTTGGAATGCACACACACAGACAATTGCTCTTTATCACGTAAAAATAAGAGTACAATACTTTTGCAAATACTTTAAATTGCAGGCAGGTAAATTTTAATTTCTAGTTCTTCTATGTAGGAGGTAACTGGAATGCAGACAATTGGTCTAACCAAGACACCAAAGGAGGCTCAGATATGGGATGGACTAACCAGCAGCCTCAAGGCAACAACAAAGGCAGTGCTTATCCAGATGGGAGTGACGACGGATCTCCTGGTGATCTCGAAGTACTTTTGAGGGGTGTTCCTGGCATGGATTTCCCAAATTTTCAAACAATTCCAGACACAGACTTCGACTGCAGCCAGATGCCATCTCAAGGTTATTATGGAGATGTTGACGCTGGTTGTCAGGTTTGTAGTAGTCGTTTTTGACATGATTATGTACTGACTTGCTGTCTTGAACCTCCAGCAAGATGGTAGTAATACTTATTTTTGCGTCTGCCCTACTTAATTATAGTTAAAACATTCTTATTTACGTGTGAAATCTTTTATATTCATGATTTTTTTTTAAAACTCGTGTAAAGCTTTTACTTTTCCTAATTTCCTAATCACTACACCACAACTTACTTTTTTTCGAATAAAATTAGCTTTTATCTTGCTTAATATAGTAGTTCTAAGACAGAGATGGGAATGACGTTAGCAGTTTTTGATTGCAGTTGCAGATAACTCTTGATTTCTATCGCAGACTCTTTTGTATTTTCAGAAAATTAATTCAAAGCATTCTTTCCAGAACTCTCTGACAAGGTGTTAAATTAAGTTCCAAATCCATTTAGTTTATCTCTTTTAAATGTTCTTGCTGTTTCGCTAGAACTACGACAGAATTTTCTATGAATTTCTCAGACTGAAAAATGATTCCCAAACAGAAGACATATTTGAATTGTATAATATCTTAAAATTTTGGTCTTTAATGTGCAAGTCTTATCTACAAGTGTCGTAAAAGGATATCAGAGTATTGTTTTCGTACTGATCATTGCAAATCAGATTTCCCAATTACGTTACTAATGTAAATGACGTTACTAATGCAAACGACGTTACAAATGTTAATAGATTTCGTGTATCTAAGAATTAGCAACAAAGAAAACAATCTAAGGAAAAAAGAACCCATTTAACGAAAAGAGATTAACAGTTTTGCTATACCGTTTACTAATAATTGAAGTATTTTTTCTTGCAATAATATGTTTAGTTTATTCATTTAAAAAACTATATAAAAGCATCAATTTAAAAAAAATTTCTATGATTTCATTGTATTACTAGCTTAATACCTTTTCTTCATATGGGGTGAATAAAAAAAAATTCTTCAAGCCGTCTAACTGCTCTTCCACGATCGTAAGATCTCAAATTATATCTTGTTAACATTTTGCACTTAATTATAGCAACACCTCACCGAATTCTACGGAAATCAGTTCAACAGCCTATGGTGCAATTTTGGTCAAATACCCAACACTATGATATTTCGAACAAATGAAGAGATTGTGTGCACTACATTTAATACAAATAACGGATACTGCTCTACCACGCCATCTATGTATACTTGATTTTAGTATTAATGGTCGGCTGTCAGGGACGCTACTTTGCATAAATCAGCTGTTCCTTTAGCAATTGTCAAGCAGTATAATTACCAATTATATCACGATAATACTTTGTACCTATTTTATTATATTTGGCACCTGCTATACTTACCCTGAAACATTTGAGTATTGAGCGAAATACTCGTATCTGTGGTAGCAGGGTGGGGTCGAGGGAACTTTTATAAGACCTTCAGGGGGACTTTAGAGCAGGGACATTTCTCTATCTAGCTTTTAACATAATGTTTCAAATAGTATTAAGTATTGGTGGGAAAAAAAGTTCTTTTAATTCTACTCAAATAAACATAGATCCATCACCCTGCTGTTCCTTTAACTATTTTGCGTTTACTGCATAATAACAAATAATCTCAGGAAAAAAAACTTATCTAATTTAATGAGGGTTCATTTAATTTTCTAAAAACATATCTAATTTCATGATGGATGGTTCATTTCGGATTCTAAAATCATACCGAATTTAATAATGGTTCTATTCATTTTCTGAAAACATGTCTAATTTAATGATGGTCCGTTTCGCTTTTTAAAAACCTATCTAATTTAATTATGGTTCATTTCATACTCAATAAACCTATTTAATTTAATGACTTCTCATTTTATTTTCTAAACACCTATCTAATTTAATGATGGTTCATTTCATATTCTAAAAAAATATCTAATTTAATGATGGTTCAATTCATTTTCTATAAACCTATTTAATTTAACACTAGATTGTCCAAGGAAGTCATTCTGACTGCTTTTCAACTGTTTTTTCATATGCAGAAAATGTACAAATAATAATGCATAAATTACTTTTTTTCTCCAAGTGCAGTAATTTTTTTTTATTGTTAATATTTGCTAATATCTTGTTATATAATAGTAAATAATATAAAAAATATTAAAAATTAATTAAACAAATTTCTTTACACATTATTCTTTCGCAATGCCGTCATTTTGACTGCTTTTGGGTAATATAGGTATATACTAAGTTTCAGTCTTTCTAGAGTTAATGATAGTTCATTTTATTTTCTAAAATCATATTTAATTTAATGATGGTTCATTTCTTTTTCGAACAGGTATTTCATATTTGCCAACCAGGAAACAGAAAAGATTCCTTTTTATGCCCACTCGGGACAATATTCAACCAGAAATACCTTGTTTGCGACTGGTGGTTCAATGTCAACTGTTCCGAAACTCAGTCTCTTTACGAACTAAACAAAGATATTTACAAAGATACAGCATTAGTAACTGATAAACCCACGACAACAACAGAAAAGATGCTTCCCTGGTCTGCCCAAGATCTTGACGGGAAACGTCCCGGTAAAAGTTGGAACAACCAAGGACCACCAGGAAAACCAGTAAGTTGTCGGAATTACAACAAGCGATTAAATTTTATGGTGGCCGGATCACGCTATTGGTTGAAAATGACGTGACTACTTGTGGGATGGGAGATTGGTTGCGTTGACGCGATTTGAATTACTGAAAATTTTGCCCTTAAATGAGTTAATTTTTGATTTTCTTTATTTTTAGTTAATAATTTATTATTAATTTTATTACATTCTCAAGATATATAGCAAAACTAATTTTCAAATGTGTTTTTTAGCCTAATATTTAAAACAAAATTCATTTAAATAAAAGAAATGTCTGTTCGATCGAAAACAATATTGTAATTTACTGAATTTTAAAAATTCGCTGATTTTAAAAAAATAGTAACAGTTACAAATGTTATAATGTATAATGCATATGACTAAATAAATATTTCTCTTCAGAATTCAAAATAAAAATACTATTTACAATTCACACAATTTTGGATAATTTCTATTAGAGTTTAAGTCATGGAAATAAAATTTAATACTGTTATTAAGTAAACATTAACCCGAGCACGCGTGGAAGCGGAATCTGTACATAAAGTCAACTAAACACCAGCTGATGCATATCATCTTCTTTCGCACACATCGTAATGTCATTTTCGACCAATAGCTTGATCCAGCCACTTCGAAATTTAATCGCTCGTGAATTACAAATTTTTATACTCAAACCATCACCTCCTACATCAGAAAACCTCGACACGGATTTTTATAAGTAATCTAGGCAGACCATTTAAAAAATGAACCAGTTATGCATTTTCACCGAATTTCCTTTAAAATTCTGAAAGAAATTTATCTTATTTAAAAATTTATGTATTTGTCACATGTTAATAATTTATCTACATGTTAATAATTTAAAAGTTCATATGCAAGGCCACTTTGCTCTAGCTCTTTGGTGGTAAAGTTTTTAAAATCTTGGAAAAATTGACAAAATTTCTGAAAGGTTGTGCTTTTAATGCCTACCACTCCAGAAATTTTTTTTCAAAAAGCATAGTAGTTGACAGACTGTAAACTTTTCGACCGTGAGAGGAGTTTAACCCTTTGACGGTTATGAACGAGTTCAGCTCGCAATCGAATCGGGCTCGTAAGGCGCACAAACGAGTTCCGCTCGGGAGCAAGATTTCGACCGCAACGAGCACTACTCGCGTAGTGAAATTTTTCCCCAATGCGCGCTGACGAGCTGAGCTCGTTCGCCATTATTATTCTGCATTGACTATGTTAAAAACGAAAAGTACGTAAAAACTGTTATTTATGAACTACGAATACTTTAAGAAATTTTTAAAACGAGTGAGGCGAGCATCTACTGCATCCAGAGATGCCAACTTGCTCCGCTTTGTAAAATAGTATTTTCTAGTGATGGCGAAAGTCAAGTTACTTTCAGTTTAGTATTTTTTCTTTTAAGTAATTTTTTCACCACTAAATAACAAAAATTATAAGTATCATATAAAATGCAACGTTCCAACAAAAGTCTACTGGTTACTCTACTTAAAAGTAGGCGTAACTGTCCTTCTGCAAAGAAATTTGCTACCACTTTATTATAACAATTCCAGAGAGCGGAGCAGTTGGCATCGTCAGAGAAGGGTGACATTTTCGGTAGAACAGCGGTGAAAAACAGCTGCCGCTTTCGACTACTATTTGCTCGTAACACTGCGCGAATTAATGAAACGGAAACTGCTCATTTCCCTGACCATCAAAGTGTTAAATAAATTTATGACTTTTAATTAAAAATGAAGTAATTCTTATTATAAAGAAAGTTTTTAAAATGAGTAATTTCGCTGCAATAAATAATGTATATCCAGAAAACGGTACACGTGAGAATGATTTGGTTGCTGAAAAAATTCAAACTCTCAATCGCAATTTTCTTCGAAAATGATCGAAATTTAAATGAAAAACGTTTAAAAATTTCCAACAAGAACGAAGATTGTGAAGATAAACATCTGAAAAATTTGTAATAGAGATAAAACGGTGTTGCCACTTTCCAGAAAAATTTATAAACTAATATTAAAATATCAAGGAATCAAAATCTTTTAACTATTTACCATCGATCAAAAATATTTGCGAATAAATAAATTATTTGTATTACAACTGACCAACCGAATTCATAAAATGGATGTGAAATTAAAAGCTATAAAATTTACGATAATCTTATAAAATTATTGTCAGCACTTTTTAAATTATTTCCTGACTGTGACAAACTTGTAAAACCTCTTAGATATATGGAAACGCACTGCCTGCTTACTTTAATGTTTAACCAAATATTATACTACGAACCAAATATTCAGCTAAAATTCCACGACGAATGTATAGGGCCACTTCGCCGCCCAGGTGCCCAGAAAAATCAAAACACTAGGACTAGGTATATGGATAATACTTTTTAATGTAATTTAATACTCTGTTTAAAAACTTCCATTATATAGAGAGAAAATCATTATACAGGAACTTCTTTGTAGTTAAACTCTACTGACATTAGTTATATTGGTTAAATTTCATTGGCACAATGGCTTTTCTGCTCTATTCACTTGGTTCAGAAACTCATAGTCAATTATTAATTTTTAAAACAAACTATGCACTATCGCAACCGTTATTTCCAGTGATACTACAGCAATATGATTAAAAAATAATTTTTTGAAAGAATTTTTAATATAGTGAGCCATCGCGAATAATGGAATTATTGCGGATGTAAGACGGTGCACTATAGCGAAGTCCAACTGTAATAATTATCAAATTATGTTTGGGCTAGCAAATCAAATAACATTTTCTGTGGTTGATTTCAGAATGCTGTCAGTATGGACATTCCAAGCAAAAGAGGTGGAAAATCATATTCGGGTAACGCCGCAAAATCGTGGAGTCAAACAGATGTTCAGCAAAAAGAAGTAACATTTTCCTGGAGTACATCTAAAAACTATGGTAGCTCTTCATTTTCCGCAGGTGCTTCAAATCCAACACCTAAGCCTATTTGGTATGGTATAGATGGCAAACCAGCTAAAGACCAAAGTGAGCCACCCCGCAAACATAATGGCCTGGTGCAGAGTAATGCTCCATTCGGGACAAGAATGAAAGCTAGTCCATCCATGCCTACAGCTGGTACTTGGAAACCTTCAACAGACCAAACCACAACAACACCCAGCTGGAGAAACAGCCAATCAACAACAGCAAGTTCTCATGGATGGTTAAACCATCCTGAAACTTCCATTGTTCCATCCGGAGTGGATGGAGTTTGGGAACAGGGAACAACTGGATCACTGGAACAGAATGCTGGAACTTATTTCGATAGCGAGAGGGATAATTCTTTAAATTCCATACCTGTTGGAACTTCACAAAATCATAAGAGACAGGCTCTGGTAGATATCAGCAATCCCGAAATTCATACGACACCAATTGAAACCAAAAGTTCTTTTCTGGGATCAACCACTGCAACAAGCTTGGGAGATTGGGTGAACTTGCCCGAAACATCTATTGTTCCAAGTGACGTCAAAGGAGTTTGGGAACAAGAAACAGTTAAAGAACCCGACTATAGTATGTCACCGTCGGTTATAGGTGCCAGAGGAATCGTCATCAAAGCTTCTGGATCCAGGCCAAGAGAAAGCCGATTCCAGTCTTCAACGACAAGGAACAGAGTTTGGAGGCAAAGGCCATCCACACGAAAAGAAAACAGATCCATGGATCCATCAATATCCCCAGAGAAAAAGTGGGGTAAAAGAAGAACCTCGAAATCGAAGCAAACCGCTCGCAAAAATATTGCTACTAGAACCAACTCTGTTGCAAAAAATCAATACTGGTAGTACAGAGTATGCTAAGAATTCAACAACATGTCACTTTACCTTGGATTGATAAATGACTATGTACAACATAAAAAATGTCCCTTAGATGAAGGTATATGTTTGTAGTACATTCACTGCCGAAAATAAGGAAATCTGTAATTATTTTTTGTTTACCACGAACAAATTTTTCGAAATAATGACATTCTACTTGGCGACATTGGGATATTTAACATCATTTAATAACAGCCTTAAAAACAAAGGACGCTCTCGTTGTCGATGGAGATATCGCCAACTTGGTAATCTTGGAGATATTTTTGGCAACAAATGACTTCTTTAAGCTCAAAATGCACAAGTCTTGAGAATTGAAAAGGCATAAGGATGTGAAATATCAGAGAATTCACAAGAAGCTTTTCGTTCCTCCAAACAAATCGGTAGTTGATGGACCATTTGTATTGGTTTTCATATGTGAATCTAACACATTTTGTTAATACAGAATTATATAGTTCCATCTTAAGTACAGAAGAAAAAAAAACGTTACGTAGTTTTATTAAAGAGTATTTCAGTTTAACCATCGGTGCAATATAATTTAACTGTCATCTATCAAGCCTATTCATTCATTATATATCTAATCGAAATTCGCTTTGAATCTCTTAATTCTTCCATTTGAGCCATTTTCATTTATTTTATCGTAATAGATATCACGCACAAGTTTTCATATTGAGTCTATTTTTCTTCTTTTGCATTATACATGAATTAAAGAAGAAATATCAATAATAAGGCATAATTGCTTAGAAATTAATCCTCCGCCAGTAAGAATATAAAAGTTATTTAACACTTCATTTTACTTATTTTAAATGTCATTTTGCGCAATTGTTTATTTTTGTTTTTTAAATCTGTAGCAGAGGATTGATGATGGCTATTATTTTTACTCTGATATCTGGTGGAGGTATTTAGGGGTTTTGTAGATGGTTTTATTCCTAGATACTAGATTTTGAGATTTGTACAATTGATTATATGCGGGTATTTATTTATTTGTAGTGTTTTTTAGTTGTTTATAATAAAGTTTTTTTTAAGGAAGAAATTGGTTTGTTGTTTTTTAAATATATATTCTGTCATTTCCGAATAATAGATTCGAAAGACTTTATTATTATATAGTGATGAGCCACAAAATACTGCAAAAAAAATTATTCCTATTTAAATTGTAACTGCACCGAATAGCGTCTCGTTTTAGCTTTCACTAAGAATTCAAGAGAATATCACATCATTATGACATAGCTTTCCATTCTAAATATCTTGAGTCGTAGTTTCGACATAAACTAAATAAGCAAATATATTATTGTTCCAAAAGTATTCACATATTTTAGTAGTAGCAATACTTTATACACTATGGGCTATTGGCGACGGTCTAGGAAATATCTCCGAGGATGATCCTAAGACTTGCCATCACAATTTTGATCCTCTACAGATGGGATGGTTTCCCTTCTTTGGCAGTTGGACAACCTGCCTGTGAAGTCGAGCACTTTACGATAAAATGGATTAACGAGGATCGATACCGTTCACCCTTGGACCCTACGCAGGCGAAATGGTCATCCACTCGCTCACTGACCACAGCGGCAGATGCTTATATTTTTACGCTTAGTCCACTGTGGTACTTTATTTTTTAGAGAACGTTAAAAGTAGAAAAACCACTTTTTTAGAGAACTATCACTATCTTGCTATGATCCCTTTTTTAGTAGATTATAAACGCAGAGATGCCGACCGGCCTGTGTAGGGGTTAGAGAACTGTCCTTGAATCAGAAAGGTTCTAGGTTCGAATCCCGGGATAGGCATGGATGTTCTTTCCTTCTCTGTACTATCTGTCCTTATTGTGGGAGCAACGTTGGCCCACCTAAAATTGTGCCCCTGAAAGAGTGGCCAACGAATCTGCCCTTCAGATCATTATCCAGGTGAGCATTGAAAAACAAACGCAGAGATGCTACTGGCGACTAAAGCCGTAGTGATTAATGAAAAATAAAAATCTATTAACAGAGATTGAAATTAGCAACTTTTTCTAGCACGTTTCTTTCAATTCACTATTAAAGGTGATTACAAAGAATTTCTTCAATTTAAATATCAAGGCCCGAGCTAAATATTTGCCATTCCACCAAATGTCTTAAATTCGGCGGGGGGGGGGGAAGGGTTTCAGCGAAAGTATTGACGAATGTTTTTTTTTAAATAGAAAATAAAAATGCCCTCGAGCCTCAGAAAAAAATTAAAAAGAATACAAAAATATTTTTTCTGGACAAATCTTGTATTTTTATTCCATTGCAGCAATTTCCCTTAAATAAGTCACGTAACCATTAATTAAGCTCAGATAAAGCATTAAACAAGAAGAAAGATTATGTTAGTATGATAAAAAAACTATCGCAAAATACAGATGACCACGTGCGCTGCCGCATCACGCGATATCACGTGATAAGGATCTTTCTTAACTGTCTATGTCAATAAAACAGAATAAGTGGTAACAAGATGATTATTATCATCCAACTATTTTTTCAGAAAATATGTTTTCTTGTAACAATAACATATTCAAAAACGTGACATATAAAACTTCATGATCAGGTTTATCCTTATAGTTATCAAAAATTAACCATAACCTATTCCAATAAAACAAAATCTAACAACAACATATTTCATCTTTTTTCCCATTTACTCCTCTCCGACTGCAAAATGAATTGTGAATTGAAATTGCAATTTATGAAATAACTCAATTTAAAGTAAATTTGTTTTTAGATTTGAAGCTTTCTATGGGGAAAAATCAATCATAAAAAAAAATTGTTAGGATTTGCTTTTGGCTAAGAATTTTGAAATTTGGTAAATACTTTTACTCATACTCATATAGGTCATTGGTAAATACTTTTACTCATATATATGATACTCATATAAGAATAGTAATTGAAATAAGAAAAAACAATTTTAATGCCATTTTTTTGGTGGTAAGTATATTTACCACGACCTATTAGGAACTTATTGACTTCTATTTTTCTTTATTTATAAAATAAATTTCGTAAATGATACAAACTTCAGAGGGAATTCTGCATTTCATAACTTTTATACGTTTTTTTAAACTAACAAATGGTTACCAATTTTGTTCAAACGCACTTCAAGAAATCTGAAGTTATTAAAAAATGGAAACCTAAATTAAAAGTGGTAAAAAAGTGGTGGTAAGTATACTTCCCACGGCCTTCGAAAGGGTCAAACAAATATTCAAAAGTCCTCACAATATTTTTGAATGTTAGGTGTTTGCACAGTAATAATCCTGCTTACCAATTGCAAAATCAACTGTTGTATCGTTATCTCTACAAATATTCTGAGCTAAGAAAGTGCATAAAACAGCATAACCCATTCTATGATATTGTTTCTTGGTTCAATAAATGTAAATTAAAATACATTTGACTACCACAACATGAAAAATTAAACTAATGTATATGAGACCAGTTTAATTTTTATTTCATTGAGTACACAGAGATGCCAACATCTCCGGATCCAACAAAATATTTTTAAAAACGGTAGAGGTCTACAAACTTTATTTTGCCATTTATTTGAAAGATTCGACCCAGCTCTACTGTAAAAAAAGAGGCTAATCACTCAAGTCTTTCAGAGATGCCAACTTGCTCCGGACAGGAAATATATATTTTATAGTGGTAGTTTATCAGTTGTGATTCTTGGTTTAATAAATTCAATTTAGTAGATTTTCATCCACCAATATTTCTAAATAATTCGTAGGCATACATAATTCACCACTTTATAGTACTTATGTCATGCAGCTCATTTTTGTGGCGACATAATTTTAACTAAAATACAAAATATTCGATTTCCTTTTATTCCAATTACCAGAAAGAACCACCTTAAAGATTAAATACAAGATGAATGGGAAAAAGGCAGCTAACGATTGCAAAATTTACTTTGTAGCTATTTACAGTTTTTTTAATAATTTTGGCGTGTCCGGAACAGTTGGCATCTCTGGTCTTTGAATTATTAAAAAGAATTGGTGAGTAAACATCCTATTAATCGAGTTTATTAAAGGAGAATAACAATTAAATGTTTACCAGTCGAAAATAAGTAGCCGCTCTCCGAAACAAGTTGGTATCCCTGGTTACAGTCAACGCCTCCTACCACTGAAAGCCTCAACACGGTTTTTATAGGTAGTTCGATCAGACCATTATGAAGGTAAACCAGTTTACGAAAGAGCCCTTTAATAGAAAATCTAGTAAAAATAGGAAAGTGATAGCAAATATACGTCTAAACATTTTTTTAATTTATGAATATGATTAGTTTTCTTATTTACTTGTCTACCACAACAGTTTCAATTCTCAAATACATATGATAAATTCCTCTCAGTTACTTTTTAGTTAATAGAATTTGGTTTTATGCGCTCTAGCTGTTCACTTTTTAAACCGCCTGCGTAGAGTACTTATAAGAAACCGTGTGAAGGCTTTCTGATGTAGGTGGTGATGGTACAATACGCTTAAAAAATGGACCACCCTGAGTAACTTTTGATCTAATGACCGGATCTTCGCGTTCTAAGACTCAATCTAAATGGTTCGTGGGATAATTATTTAGTGCACACGCTATTTTAAATCGCTATTTTAGTTACACCATTTCAATCAGACACAAAAGCGTACTTTCTCTGAATAAACATACCTGTCCTTCCATGGATTCGGATTCCTGTCCCCAAAATATATAGGAGGCCGTGATCTGGGAAATATGGGGTACCCGTAGTTTGGTCTCGAGAGTTATCCAAAGTTTAGACTCCTGAATGTTAATTTTACTTTTTGCGGATTTCGCCATATTTCTATAACTTTTTCAGAAAAATGAAACATTTTTGCACCACAATCATAAAATTCGGTTTACCAAAGAAAATTTCAAATTCAGTATTTTTTATTATTTTATTTAATAATAATCGAAAACTTTTGAAATGTGAGGTGGGCAATTTTTTCAACATTTTAAAGTATGCAAATTTACATGGCTAAATGCAAATTTTGAGCGAAATCGGTCGAATAGCTTTTGAGAAATTGAATTTTAAAGAGATCGTATATTTAAAATTCGATTTCTTCAACTATTCAACCAAATTTTCTAAAACTCTGAATTTTGCAATGTAAAATTACATACTTTAAAATGATTTAAAAAATTGTATACCTTATGATTCAAAACTTTTTCAACTATTATTTTCTAAAAAAAATAATAAATATTTTTTGAAATTTTTTTGCATGGAATTATCTTTGGATAAGCAAATATTGGAATAGTATGCAAGAATTTTTCAATTTGCTTAGAAAGCTCTCGAGGTATTGTGAAATATGCACAATGNGGAATGACAACAATTATAAAATAGCTCAATTTAAAATAAATTTGTTTTTAGATTTCTATGTGGAAAAATCAATCATAAAAAATTGTTTGGATTTGCTTTTGGCTAAAAAATTTGAAATTTGGCTAATATTTTAATATTTGGGAAATTTGCTGGCTAATAACGATCCACAACGATTTAAACTTTTTTTTACCGAGTAACTAGCCCGTATGGCTATCTGCTCATTCATCGAAATTGGTTAATTAACCCTTTCGTGCCGACTGTCACATAAAACCGTATCAATCAAGGTAAAAAGGTAAAACTGGTAATCGAAGTATTTCTTTAGCAGTTTATTTGTGGGCGGAGTTATAATTGTTTGATTTAATTAATTCACCATTACTTTGTTCAAAATAAAACTATTTAGTTATACTTTGAATTAACATTGATTATATATATGATTAAACTAACAGTAGGTTTACGGACTTTTCTTATATACCTACGTATTTTTCTTATATATCTTTCCTATCTCTACGGACACACGTCACTTTGACGTATGAAAGAATTGTGATTCTTAACTTAATAAATTCAATTTAGTAGATTTTTATCCACCACTATTTCTAAATAATTCGCAGGCCTATATAATTCACCATTTCATATTTCAAAATTTACTTAATTGTTATTTACAATTTTTTAAATTATTTTCGCGTGTCCGGAGCAGTTGGCATCTCGGCACTTAGAAACCAATGTAT